AAATCATGCTTAGGCTATGTGATGGTACTATTGGGACCCGCAGAGGTCGCGTACTTGTTGAATTACTTGCTAATTGGTATCTTGTACTTAGTCATGGTTTTACTTGCGTATCATATCTCAGCCCTTTCTTGATTCTTGTTGATACACTATGTTATCTTTGTTTGGGCCGATCTTTGTGATTTTCGAGAGCCCGAGAGACTAGAGAGGTTGATGACTTAGTGAGGCCGAGGGCCTATCTGTGAGGTATTGATACTATGGCACGTGAGTTGTCCGTGGAGCACGTGAGTTGTCCATGCGGTTCCACATATTGATACTATAGCACGTGAGTTGTCCGTGCGGATATAGAGCTTGGGCTGAAAGGAGCCCCTCTGGAGTCTGCACATCCCCGGTGAGCGCAGATACCTATTGAGTATGAGTACTGAGGGCTGAGAGCCGAGTGATTTGAGCTGTTGTGACGAGTTGAGTGACTGTTGCCTAGAGAGGATGTACTTGCTTTTTCATTTGTTGATGCACTTAGTTGCTATCTGTCATTATTGTGAAATTCCTGAAAGATTTTATATCTGAATTACCTGAACTTTAAATGTATAAAACTGATTTGACTTAAACTGCCGGATGTGAAAGCATGTCTATTCTTTACTGAAATTATTGAAAATGAACTGTAGTTGTATATCTCGTCACTGCTTCTCAGTTCCTTATTTATTTCTGTTACTTGCTGAGTTGGTTGTACTCATGCTACACCCTGCACTTCATGTGCAGATCCAGGTGTGTTTGATCATGGAGGTCGTTGAGTTCGTATGCGATTGAGTACCGGAGACTACGAGGTAGCTGCCGACGTCCGCAGACCTTGTCTCTCCTTCTATGTTTTCTTTCTTTCCTGTATTGATACTTAGACACTATTTTTACTAGACTGGATAACTAGATGCTTATGACTTGGTGACACCCCGATGTTTGGGGCTATCTTTCCGCATTTTATTTTGAATTCAACTCCGATTTTTGTAAAAATTTCTAGTATGAAAAAGCTTGATTTTTTTTGAAATATTAAAGTATTATTGAAAGATCGGCTTGCCTAGTACCATTGATAGGCGACATCACAACAGGTTAGAGTTTTGGGTCGTGACATAATAAGAAGAAGAAGGAGTTGGAATATTTGGTCTAGCATTATTTAATGCAACTTGATAAGCATTATAAATAGTTTGAGCATTAGAGCCTGTTTGGCCAAGCTTCTCGGAGATCAAAAGTACTTTTTTTTTGTCAAAAAAGTATTTTTTGAAAAATTTAAGGTGTTTGGCCAAAATAAAAAGTACTTTTGGCCAATAGCAGAAGTAGTTTTTCTGCTTTTGGGAAGAAGCAGAAAAATTTAGCTTTTTTCAAGAATCAGAAGCAGAAAATTAATTTATTCAAGACAAAACTATCCTCACCATAAATATATATTTTCCAAATTATCCTTTAATTTTTGTATAATAAGTATATAGATTGTTATTCAAGTAATTTTATTTTTTTCTTTTTCTTATAGATATGTCATTCACAGTAAATAATGATGAGCATGTTGACGAAGTTCTTACAAATGAAGTAGATGACGATGATGATGTACTTGATTTGGTAATTTACAGTGTAGCTCTCGCATCAGAATATTATTTAAAATTTTGTCTAAAACTCCATGCAGAACTTCTCCTCATACAGGATTTTATTTCATCAAGGAGATACTTGAAAGGCATGATAAGAGATGTTATGAGATGTTTAGGATGGAAAAACATATATTTCTTGACTTATGCAAAACACTAATTGAACAATATGATTTGAAATCAGCAAGAAAAATGACCATAGAGGAGATGGTTGCTATGTTTTTACTAGTGGTCTGACATGGTGTAGGGAATCGAATGATTCAAGAACGATTCCAACACTCTGGAGAGACTGTTAGCAGACCTTTTTATCAAGTTTTGATAGCATGTTTGAAATTGGCTATGGATATTATTAAGCAAAAAGATCCAACCTTTTATGATATTAATCCTAAAATAAGAGAAGATGACAGGTATTGGTCATATTTAAAAAATTACATTGGAGATATAGATGGCACACACGTGCCTTGTATTGTTTGCTCTAAGGAACAAATCAAATACATTGGTAGAAAAGGCTTCACTTCACAAAACATAATGACTGTATGTGATTGGGACATGTACTTCACATTTGTATGGTCTGGGTGGGAAGGTACTGCACATGATGCTAGAATATTTGATTAGGCACTTAGAAGGCAAAACCTTTACTTTCCTCATCCTCCATCAGGTAAGCAACACTAATACTATGCCTTGTGTTATTTTAATATGTAGATTTTATTTGTATTCATCTAAATTAACTCTTTTTTACTTGGTGTAGGTAAATATTATTTAGTTGATTCAGGCTATTCAACAACGATGGGTTATTTAGGACCGTATAAGGGTGAATGATATCATCTCCCAGATTTCAAGCGCAACTCTAGTTTTAGAAATCCAAATGAGGCATTTAATTGTTTTCACTCCGGTCTTCGATGTACAATTGAAAGAACATTTGGAGTATGGAAAAATAGGTTTTCTATTTTACTCTCAATGCCATCTTCCAAGTTTGACAATCAGATTTATCTTGTTACAACTACCATGGCTATACACAATTTCATCAGACGACATTCTTCTACTGATAAGGAATTCAACTATTATGCTAATGAAGACATTACTGCAGAGATTGAGGAAGGAGATGTGCCTTCTGGTATTCCTTTAGAAATGCAAGACAAGTCTTCTACTATTATGGAGCCTTTGCGTGATAGAATTAGAGATGAAATTGTTGAGAAGTATTATCATGTGTGAGTGACTTTGCTTATTATTTCATGGTTGATTATCAATATATAATAATTTATGGAATAAACTTTAAGTCACACTGAATGACGTATTTTGATTATTCAAATCATCGTGTAAATAACAAGCAATTATACTAGATAATATTATTATTTTGGTATAACTATATATGTTACAATGATTTAAATATTTAGTATGTATGTTTACTTTATGTTTATATTTTAATTAAATTAAATAAAAAAATAATAACAGTCTCGTATAATAAATATTTAAATTTATTTATTTTTTAAATAATTATAAAACCTTGGTACTATCCTTTTTGGTAATTTAACACTCAAAAGCACTTTTTATAAAGATTGGCCAAACACAATTTGTTTATCAAATATTGCAAAAAATACTTCTTAAATGAATTGGCCAAACACAAATTATTTTTTTTCAAAAGTACTTTTAGAAAAAGTACTTTCAAAATAAGCAGTTTTTGGCAGCTTGACCAAACGGGCTTTTATTCTAATTGAGGCTATTGCTTCCGGAGGTTTAGGCAACTCATCATCTTCAAGTGCTAAACCATTATAAACAGTTTCATACCAAAATTGAGTACCTCCTAATTTCATACAAGAATTTAGCAATGCAGCAACACCATAAATAGGGGGAATAGGGAAAAAATATTTTTTAAACTTTTTTCTCATAGAATCAATAGCAAGTTTATAAATTTCTCCACCCTTTGAAAAATGAACAAACAAATTTTCAAGTTCTGCAATATAAACTAAATAGTTTGAAATAGTAGGATAATATTGACCAGAAAATTCATTTGTAGCAATAAAATTTTTTTCTAAAAAATCAACAAGCATTTTAACATTAGCACATTCCCCATTCGTAAGGTGCTCGTCATCATCACTTACATGTGCATTAAATATTGAGTTTATGGGGTTTCTATATTCATATGCAACAACCAAACTTTCATACATGTAATTCCATCTAGTTGGACAAGGTTTAGGAATCTTTTTTTCTCTTAAGCCACATTCATCGCATCTTTTAAAATATTCTCTAAATCTACTTCTACGGTTTGAATGAAAAAGCCAGTTAAGAACCATTTTAACCTTTTCAATTTGAATATTTAAAATTTTTATACCATCACCCACAATTAAATGGTAAATATGACAAATACATCTAACATGAAAAATATTACTAAATGCAGGATTTTGCGTAGTGGTAAGCAAGTCTATAACATTTGTGTTATTAGTAGCATTATCCATTGAAACCGATATTATTTTATCACTAATGTAAAAATATCTGCAAATATCCGTAATTGTGCTAGCAATAAACTGCCCTGTGCGACGTGAAGCAATTATTCTATAAGCAATTATGCACTTTTGCATTATCCAATTCTCATCAATCCAATGACTGATAACAGTAAGGTAATCACAGTCATTGCCACTTCTACCAATATTAATTGTAATAGCAACACGATAATTTATATGAGTAAATAAATAGCGCAAATATTGTTCATATTCATACTTATATTTATAAATATCGCTCTTTACGGTTGTGCGAGAAAAACCTTTATAAGTAGGATTAAATTTATTTCTAATATAATGCACAAACGAAGGGTTAGAAGGAAAACTATAGGGAAAAAGTGTAATTATAAAAAGTTTGGGGTTNTTTTTTTAAATAGCCAAACGGATATTTTTTTTTTAAAAAAAAATTACCGTTGTGCACGTTTGACCCGCCAAGAGACCGGTCCCGGTCCTTTGGCGGGCCAAACAGTCCCTACTTAAGACCGGCCCAAGCCCACCTCTAACGATTCTATCGGCCCACTTAGCCCGCGGTCTCGGGCCCGGATCGACCCACTTTTACACTTTAACTTATATGAAAGCCAAGGTCTCGTCTAAAATATCATTTTAGCTGGTGAATTATGTGAAACATAAAGAGAGGAAAGGTTAAACAGGTTAAATAAATAATAGGACTTGAATTTGACTTCCATTGTGTGTGTCTTGAATGAATAGAAAAAGTCGAAAGAAGTTGGAAAAGGTTAGTTATGGAAAAGAAAAAGAATTTATGTTTGTGAAATCTTCGCAAAAGTCAAGTGACTACAAAACTAAAATCTTTCTTTATTTCTACTTTAATATCCGCTACCTTTCCCTCTTCTCTTTCCTTGTTTTTGCTTTTCACTTTTGACTTATTAGCTTCTTAGCTTTTGCTTTTTCAATAATTTCACTTGTCTTCTGTTACTTCAAGAATTAGAATCAAGACTTCAAGCAAGAATCAATAGTAATATCAGTTGATGCCGAACGACAAGAAGATGCTGTGCGTGCACTTTGACAATAACAATAACAAGTTGGAATTCAGTTATTTAGTAGGCCTTTCTATATGGCTACCAGCTATTGCTCTGGTTTATCGTGTGCTGAAATTTCTTCTTCATTGGCTAACTCATCCTAAAGTTATATCACTGCCCAAAGAAGGAGAGATAGAAATAGCTAAGTGTGATGAAAAGAAATACTCAAGTGTGAAAGATAGAGGACAGCAAACTGTTCAGTACAGATTTAGGCAGAGACAGAAAAAGATACAAAGAGAATCAACAAGTATAGAGAAATCAGACTCTGGGGTTTTGGATTCTAAATTGGTCGCAAAGGAAGAGGAAGCGTATGTGTCGAAACTACCTCGTGTTCGCGATGGTGATCTAGAGCATTTCAGCCACAGACACCCTCTGCTAAGATTCCATCTCCGAGGTACAGAAAATATAAGATGCAACATGTGTACTTTTATAATATCCGGAGTGGCTTATGGTTGTGATCATTGTCGTTACTTTCTCCACGAGGTATGCTCTAGCATTCCTAATAGAATTCGGCATGATTTTCACCCCATGCACTCACTTACCCTTTGTCCTATTCCCTCGATCTCTCTTTGTTATTCGAAAGTTGAGAGCGAACAGCTGGCTGTGGCCGAAAAGAGAGGTTTTGGGACTGAATTCCGTTGTGTGGCATGTGGATATGACAACTCTTACCCTCAAAAGTCACTCTTTGCTTTTTATTATCATTGCGATGTGTGTAATTTTGACCTTCATCTTGAATGTGCTTCCGTACCAACGACATTGATCCATAAGGTTAAATATCCACTTGATCTCTTCACTATCTTTCCACTAGAAAGTGAAGGTGCAGCCCTGTTTTGTGATATTTGTAACCAAGTTATGAATAGGGAATTCTCTTGGCTTTTCTACAATCGTGAGTTTGATTACGTCTGCCATTTTGAGTGTGGTGCTGAAGAAGAGTTTGGGCTAATAGGGGATGACGGTTTCCTATCTGAAGTCCAGAAACTATTGGTTCTTCAAACAAGTTTCCCTGGCCAAAAACCAAAAGTAAAACAGTTAGGAGAAGTTGCACACTTCAGCCACCGCCATCCACTGAAAGCAATCAAACAGATGAATGAGGCATCAATCATGAGTTGCTGCATATGTTCAATCAAGTCTTCGTCTGGTTACATTTGCCAGCAATGCAATTACTTCATTGACGAGAGCTGTTTCCATCTTCCACCAAAGATTCGACACCAATATCACCCGAATCACACTCTCATACTCGTCAGCTACACCGATCATCCAAATATCCACTGCACAGCTTGCAGCCAAGAAGTTGGTGCAGCATACCATTGCTCTGCTTGTAAATTCAGTCTCCATCGTACCTGTGCTGGTGCTCCCTTGACATTAACCCTTGGCACAAACAAGAAAGTTAGTTATAAGCTCCTCTATTCGTATCCGTTTGAGGGTGAGATGGCTGTTATCAATTGCAGTGCTTGTTCCAATAAGTTAAACTCAAAGCAGAGCTTCTTGTACTACAATTTCGACCTGGATGAAGTGCTCCATGTCCTATGTGCGCTTAATAGAGAAGCTGGCACTTATGCTACTAAGTTCCGTTTAGCTAGTGAAAGACTGAAAAGCATTAGAATAGGGGAAGACTTCTCCTGATTGCATGTAGTGTAACTACAAAGTTTTACCTATTTTATAAGTATTAGTAGTAACTAATGTCAGGAAGGTATTGCCTATCTAGTACATGTGTAATATGGCCAAATTTTCATGACATTTGCTATGACATAATATCCATTATAACAAAATTTATGGATCATGACATTTGCCATGACATAATATCCACTATTAGGCTAAGGATTTCTTGCTATAAATAGAGGAGTTTCTCCTCATTTGTAAACACACCAATTCAAGAGCTTTTCACTCTTGTCTTTCTTTCTCCTCCTTTATTTCATCATAGAGTATTTTGTAAGAGAGTGAATGTTGAAAAACACTTGTGTGAACCCTTCTTTGGAGTGATCTTGTGAGGTTATTCTCTTGGGGTATTTGGGACTAATTAGAGTATTTACTCTAATTTTGAACTCTCTTTTGTACTCTTGTTGGTATAGTAAAATTTCTTTTCTCCACTTGTGGACGTATGTCACCTTGACCGAACAACGTTAAATTTGTGTCTTATTTATCTTTTTTAATTGCCGTTATTATCAACTTGCATTGTCTTTGTTATTGTCATTATAACGTTATTTGGCTAAATTTCGGACTACCCAGTAACCCGATCCTAACAAATTGGTATCAGATTTAGATCTAACCGTGTTAGTTTAAATAGCCAAAATGACTCTAACAAATTCTTATGTTGAGAAATTTGACCGAAGTGCAAACTTCAGAATGTGGCAATTAAAGATTGAAGCTATCCTAAATCAGGATGGCTTATATTTGGCACTGCAAGCAAAGGAGAAGATACTGGATTAAATGACGGACGAGGAGTTTGCCGTCATAGACAAAAAGGCAAAAGCAGGTATTATTTTAAATCTTTCAAATGAGGTTTTGGTGAAGTTGCAGCAGAATGCTCAGCCAAGGCATGTGGGAAAAGCTTAAAACCCTATATATGAAAAGAATAGTAGAAAACAAGCTTTACCTAAAGCAAAAACTCTACACTTTTCGTATGGCTGAAGGTACCTCTATACTTACACATCTTGATACTTTTGATTCTCTTCTTATGGATTTAAGTAACATAGATGCTGAAATCAAAGATGAGGATCAAACTGTGTTATTGCTTGTTTCCTTACCCAGTCGTTTAAACATATAAGAGATACTATGCTTTATGGAAAGGATAATATCTCTTATAAAGATATCAAATCTATTTTGAAATCAAAAGAACAAATAGATAGAGATATTACTGGGGAAACTAGTGGGAACCAAGGGGAAGGCTTATTCATAAGAGGTAGATCCAATAAGAAAGATTCAAGTAGTGAGAAACCTAAATCAATGTCAAAATCCAGATACAGAAATGTCATGCGCAAATATTGTCATAAGAAAGGTCACATTATTTCTGAATGCTTTAAATTGAAAAATAAAGAAAAGCATACAGAAAAGAAAAATAAGCACAAAAATACTGACACTGCCGAAGCAAGTGTAGCTGCTGATGAGACTGAGGGAACTATTGTTTTAGCAACTAATAATAATTTCAAATCTAACAATGAGTGGATTTTAGATTCGGGTTGTTCTTATCATATGTGGACCAATCGGAATTTATTTACCACATATAAATCTATTGGAGGTGGAGTTGTCTTGATGGAAAATAATGCTGCCTACAAAGTTATTGGAAAAGGTACAGTCCGAATCAAAATACACGATGGTGTGGTGAGAACTCTCACCGATGTTAAACATATTCTTGACTTGAAGAAAAATCTCATCTCTTTGGGCACTTTAGAATCTCTTGGGTGCAAGTACACAGGTGAAGGTGGAGTTTTAAAAATTTTTCATGGTGCTCTTGTGATCATAAAAGCACGCAGATCTGGTACGTTGTATACTCTTTTGGGATCTACTGTTACAGGTGCTGCTACAGTTTCAATATCAGATAAATCAGATTCTGACATTATCAAATTGTGGCATATGCGATTGGGGCATATGAGTGAAAAAGGTCTTTCCATCTTCAGCAAAAGAGGTCTCTTATGTGACCAAAGTACCGGAAATATGGAGTTCTGTGAACATTGTGTGTTCGGGAAGTAGAAAAGAGTCAGCTTCAAATCTCCAGCGATTCATAGAACAAAAGGTACTTTGGATTACATTCATTTAGATCTTTGGGGTCCTTCATGTACCCCCATCAAAAAGTGGTACCAGGTATATGTTAACTTTCATTGATGATTATTCAAGGAAAGTTTAGGTTTATTTCCTGAAAAATAAAAGTGATATTTTCTTAAATTTCAAACAATGGAAAGTTTTGATTGAGAAGCAAACATGAAAATAGGTTAAGCGGCTTAGAACAAATAATGGCTTGGAATTTTATAATGATGAATTCAACGGATTTTGCAAGAATGAAGGAATTGCTCGACATCATACTGTGAGAATGACACCTCAACAAAATGGTGTGGCAGAAAGGATGAATAGAACTCTTTTGGAAATGGCTCGTTGCATGATTTCAAATGCTGGGTTGACAAACGCCTTTTGGGCAGAAGCTATCTCTACAGCTTGTTATATTGTCAACTGAGCTCCTTCTGCACCTTTGAACTTTAAGACTCCAGAGGAAATGTGGTCAGGTACTCCTACAATTATTCTGATTTAAAGATATTTGGTTGCCCTGCATACATGCATGTAAATGATGAAAAACTAGAGCCAAGGGCTAAAAAGTATATTTTCCTTGGGTATGCATTTGGGGGTGAAAGGATACCGATTATGGTATCCTGATCCCACGACACCAAAATTTATAATTAGCAGATATGTAACCTTTGATGAATCCTCTATGTTACATTCTAGAAAAGAGTCTTCTAGTTCTTCTAATACAGATAAAGGAAAGAGTACACAGAACTAGGTGGAGATTGAGATTGGCATTCCTTATGAGCCAAGCTCATTAACTTTGGAGCATAATACAATTGAAACTCCTAAAGTTGAGACAGAAGCTGAAATTCCTGAAGTTGAGACTCCTGAAGTTGAACCAGAAGAAGTGGAGTATTCTATAGCCAAACATAGACCAAGAAGAAAAGGTAAACAACCATTAAGGTTTGGAGATTATGTTGCATTTGCTTTTTCAGTTGCACAGTAAACTGAAAAAATTAGAGAACTATCAAAATATTCAGAAGCAGTTTCTGGTGCTAACTCACCCAAGTGGCTGATTGCAATAAATGAAAAAATTGAGTCTCTCAACAAGAATGGTACTTGGTCTCTTGTGAAGCCGCCATTAGGAAAAAGAATTGTTAGTTGCAAATGGGTGTTCAAGAAAAAGGATGGCATTCCAGGGGTTGAAGATGCTAGGTATAAGGCACGATTAGCTGCAAAGGGCTATAGTTAGGTATAAGGAGTTGATTTTAATGATATTTTCTCACATGTTGTTAAACATAGCTCTATTCGTGTCTTGCTTGCCTTTGTTGCCATGTATGATTTGGAATTAGAACAACTTGATGTTAAGACAACTTTCTTACATGGCGAACTTGAGGAACAAATATACATACATCAACCCGAAGGATTTGAAGTTGAAGGAAAAGAAGATCATATTTTCTTGTTGAAGAAATCCTTATACGGATTAAAGCAGTCTCCAAGACAATGGTACAGAAGGTTTGATTCCTTTATGTTGGGTCATGGTTATTCGAGGAGCATGTATGATGGTTGCGTTTACTTTCGGAAGTTAAATGATGGTGCATTTATGTACTTATTATTTTATGTTGATGACATGTTCATTGCTGCTAAGGATTTAACAGAAATTCACAATTTGAAAAGTCAGCTGAAAAGTGAATTTGAGATGAAAGATTTGGGAGCAGCTAAGAAAATCCTTTGCATGGAGATCAAAAGAGATCGAAAAGCCAACAGGTTATTCCTGACCCAGAAGAAGTACTTGGAGAAAGTCTTGGAGAGTTTGGCATGAAAGATGCTAAATCAGTTAGTACCCCTCTTGCTGCTTATTTTAAGTTATCAGCTGCTCAGTTCCCGGAGTAAGAGGAAGAAGAGAGGTACATGGAACATGTTCCTTATTCCAGTGCAGTCGACAGTATTATGTATGCAATGGTTTGTACACGTCTAGACATTTCACAAGCAGTCAGTGTGGTAAGTCGGTATATGACTTGCCCTGGTAAAGCACATTGGCAGGCTATGAAATGGATTCTCAAATACTTGCGAGGTACTTCAAACACACGTTTGGAGTTTGGGATAAATAATAACACTTTGGTTGGTTTTGTAGACTCAGATTATGCAGGTGATCTTGACAAAAGAAAATCAATGACAAGCTATGTATTTTGCATTGGTGGTTGTGCTATTAGTTGGAAAGCTACATTATAACATGTAGTAGTTTTATCTACTACCGAAGCAGAATATATGATAGTGACTAAGGCAATCAAAGAAGCCTTATGGTTGAAGGGTCTATTTGCGGAATTCAGTTCACACCAAGGTGGTCTTACTATTTTCTATGATAGTCAAAGTGTCATTCACTTGACTAAAGATCAGATGTATCATGAGAGGACGAAGCACATTAATATAAAGTATCATTTCATCCGAGAAACCATTGCTGAAGGAAAAGTCTCTGTTCAAAAGATCAACACTAGAAACAATCTTGCTGACATATTCACAAAACCTCTTCCAGTGTCCAAGTTCAAGCTTTGCCTGAACTTGATTGGCATTTATGAAGAATGATTTTGCCTATTGGGGTTTTTGCGGAGAAGGTGGTGCAAATTTACTATATATAAGCCAAAATTAGGCCAAGGTGGAGATTTGTAATATGGCCAAATTTTTATGACATTTGCGATGACATAATATCCATTATAACAAAATTTGTGGATCATGATATTTGACATGACATAATATCCACTATTAGGCCAAGGATTTCTTGCTATAAATAGAGGAGCTTCTCCTCATTTGTAAACACACCAATTCAAGAGCCTTTCACTCTTATCTTTCTTTCTCCTCTGTTATTTCATTATAGAGTATTTTGTAAGAGAGTGAGTGTTGGGAAACACTTGTGTGAACCCTTTCTTTAGAGTGATCTTGTGAGATTATTCTCTTTGGGTATTTGGGACTAATTAGAGTATTTATTCTAATTTTGTACTCTCTTTTGTACTCTTGTTGGTATAGTAAAATTGCTCCTCTCCGCTTGTGGACGTAGGTAACCTTGACCG